GGGGGGGGGGGGGGGGGGGGGGGGGGGGGGGGGGGGGGAAGGGAGGAAGGGGGAGTTACAGTTCATGGGAGGAATTAAGACCGCACTGGGTTAGGAAGTGTAGAAACATTAGCGTAGGTCCGGTACGATTTTTTTTTGTCACTAGCAATGTTACTCGCTGCACTTTGACATCCTCCAAGATGCGGTAGCTTTATTACAAAAAATGTAACAAATGACTGAAATATGTAATAAAAGCAACCTGCAAGGTTTGATTAATGGAAGGAACTAAACTGAGGTATATTTCACCGGGGAAGGGATTCCCGCAAATATATCGGTCCCTATCTGCGAAAGCGGCTTCCCGCAAAATGACAGTGGCTGTCCCTGCCTTTCGCATGGTTTTTGCTCATTGATTTAAATTAAACAGAAAGTAACAGAAATTCCGGGTCTAGTTTAACTGGAACAAAAATACAAATAGAAACAATATCCAAGAAACAGCTATATCCAATAATGAGATGAAAGGAGGGAGGGATGAATGAAGGAGAAAGAGTGCCAAACGGTTACACCCAAAGCATTCAGTGACGCTAGTACCTATGAAGTTTGTGAATGAATAAATGAAGGTTGCATGTGCTTTATCTCAAGTTGCCTGTACTTGCAAGTTCTGGTCAGGCAAGGCACTGGTACTTATTAGTGCTGATTGCCCTTAGCCCTCAACTGTGTCAGTTGTAAAAAAATATGGGGAAAGGAGCGAGCTAAAGAAAAGCGTTACTAAATAACAAGTCATCTGGATCAAATTTTCTTTCAAGGTCTCAACTTGGTTTGCAAATGCTCGGCGTCGCTTGAAAAAAGAGAACAAAATGACGTGGTCGCCACGCAACCGACCAGGCGAGGATGACGACGACGAGTCAGGGGATGCAGGCGCCCCCGTAGAGCGCGACCTCTCGGATCGGCCATCCAGCAGCGCATCGGATGGTGGTATCACCGTCGCTGTCAACAATTCCAGTCCACAAGGTGAGTATTAAGTACGCTACGGATCATCATCACTTTGCTAGGTTTGACACAAAAGTAATGCGCAATAGTCACCAATCGCTCCCCCCTCTTTCCTCTCCCCCATCTACCTCCTTGCCTCCTTTCACGCATTCCCTCGCATTGTTCAGAACATCTGCAAGTTTTTTCCGTTTAAAGCCAAATGAATTTTGGTGAAAAGAGAAATCGAAAAACGGTTGACTGAAGTCATCACTTTTTATGTTTCTGCACAAATTAGGAACCGTTTCATGCGCGTGGGTGTTTACGTTATTTGCAGAGACGGAACTAAATGTTGAAGGTTAAAATTTGGGGGCATTTTTAACTGTATGTAGGACTGTACTTGAAATCAACTTCGGGAGCTCCTACTGTTGTCACCTGTACCTTCAAATTCAAATTCAGTATTACGATTTAATGGCCAAAACGCTGCAGCCCACAAAATTCTGCGTTTATGACAGCCTTCAATACCCATTGCCTCCTGACCTGTGAATTTAAGCCCAAACTCAAACAACTTTCATAATTCCAGAAAAAATCAAAATTGAACTTTTTTGGTTTTGAACGCTGCGTGACCAGAGATTAACCCGAATAGAAGCTTTCAAGCCTGATCCTTTTCTGCGTTTTAGTCGGTCAACTGCTGCATACACATATACGCACACAAACACATTCATACTAGCAAATAGATTTCTTGAAATGCATGCTTATGGCATTCAGACTGTAGACATTTCAGATAATGTGCACTCGAAGTCAGCGACGCCACCAACACGTGCTGGAATCACTGAGAGCAACCCATCCACCTCATCCGCAGCAATCCCGACTGCTATTTCACAAAGGAAGAGCAAAATCTGGTCTATCGCAGAAACTCTGTCTAATCGAGCAGTTGAAGCGAACAGATCAAGCTCAAACAGTAAAGACGATCGGGACCGAGCGTCCACATCAGCCGGTGATGGAAAATCTTCGGATGACGGTCGAGAATCAATACCCTCGATGCTGGATGCTTCTTCAGCGATTCTCCCACCTTTTTCCGGCCATCCGTCCTTGTTGCCACCAGTCGGTGTCCAAGCCGTGCCTGCAGCGAATGGTCAAATTTCTCAAAATTTTCTTCACTTTAACCCATGGCAGCAGCAACAGCTGGCGATGACAATGGCCGCACGATTACCTTTCCCCAGACCTGAAGTACTAGCAATGATGGCACAAGCTGGCCACTTACGACAACCTATTTTTTACAGTCCGATGTTTATGGGTGCCGGAATTCCTGGTGTACCTCCTCAGCAACCACCTTTTTCTTTATCGAGTACCACGCCTCTTGTGTCTTCATCACCCAGCACATCACACTCCAATGGTATGTTATTTATCTCCTCTCTTCATCAAAAAAATGTTTCTTGAGCCATTTATTTGATACCGCTCATTACGGTATTATTAGTTAGAGCAGCTCTCTTGTTGTCGATTAGTACTGACACGTGCCTGAGAGATAGTATTGTTACCAGTTTATTTTCGAGAGGAGAAGCCGTCGAGAGATTCACGAACAAATTACTGCTTTTGGCACCTATTTTTAACTTTCAAAGAAACTGAAATTTGACAGGGGTTGTGATTAGCAACAGTTCACTAATATTCTCTCATGTCAGTGCATTGCTTTAGTTGTCAAGTTGAGGGAAAACGTGCAACACTTTTTCTGCCACTAACTTTCCAACGATTTCACGAACATCGTTTTTAACACTGCGAGTGTTAAAAACGATCTGTAGCATATTCGGATTGCGAAGGGTATGTAACTGTGGGTGCAGAAAACATATTTTGTTTGTTCACCAAAAATTGCAACTTTATTGGGCCATTTGCAAGAGGAAGCCGTTGTGAAAGTGCTGTGGGACAAGCTGATAACGGGAAGAGACAGTCAAAAAAAGACACATTTATTACCTCGATAATCACACAGGACAACAATGCTGCCGCTTATCAGTAATGATTTAGAGTCTGTGTATGTGTGTGTGAATTAGTGTATGAGCACATGATAGTTGATAAGCAAAAGAAGCAGTAAGCAGTACACAGCGCTATTAAGCAGATTATGTTCTGCTTGACAAGCTCTCACATCCTTTTTGTTTGATAACGACGAAAGAAAATATTTTTAGCGTGTTTGGGGAATGGAGGGGGGCACATCATAAGTCCATCATCTTCAGCCACAAACTAACGTTACAACTTGAAATTGCATCCAGGGGTTTAGATAGGGGGAAAAAAGCATTCGCTCCTTGCTTGCGGTTAGGTAGTTCCAGACTGTCAACCTAAATACAAATGCGGATCAAAAAACAAAATATAAGAGTTGAAAAATGCAGCTCATATGTGCCAAAGATTGTGACGGGTAACGTGAACTGAGTTAAATTAGGAAACTACTAGGAAAATAAATTATGTTGCTGCGGCCGATTACAGTCGCTTTCTCACTAGACTGACCATAAGGTAGTAGCTGAAGTAATCTGTAAGCAGTCGACGGGCTGGCAAGCTAAATTTAGATCAACTTGAATATAAAATATCCTTGCAAAATTTCAACCTCGCTGCTTTTCGGGTAAGCGAAACTGCCATGTTAGCACAAATATTTTTGATGTGCCGCAAGGCGCGGTGCAAGTGCAATTTGAAATTCTATTTAGGTAAATCACTTGAACGACAAATATAGTTGGATGACAAATATTCTGATAAAAGTTGTTATTTTCCGGCTAGTTTTCGAGTTGACACAGTGCTAGCTGCGAGCTTTTCCGTAACTGCATATGCGGTGCAAGCATGCATGATAGCTGAATTTGGAACCTTTAGCTTATTTATGCACAGAGAATATCTCTCTTCACAATTTCAGTTTACTTTCTTGTCTGGTTCCCGAAGTCGTTTCCCGCCAAAAAAGTTTTAAATTTTTCCTGGGGGGAAGGGAGGGGCGAGTGTGAAATCTAAGCTCGCATAAGCAATAATTCCAAAACAGGAGAGCAAGACATGGGGTGGGAATATGCTCCCAAAATCTCAACCTTCCATTTTTCCTGACTGCTGAGTTGAAAGTGGTTGACAAAATTCACCTGCTAACACACACAGACAACTTGTCCACAATATGCATTTTTTACATTTGCATAATAAGCAAAAATGCATTCTCACTAATTATTATATTATTACTTTTATTATTACTGTTACCATTGCTATCACTATTGTCACTATTATCACTGTTGTAATAAATTATTATTGTTATTGCGAGTGTGGTTGATGTGACTATTTGAGTGGTAAATGTAAAAGAGAGTGGTTGTTGAGTGTGGGATGTTGTTGTTGGATGTAACCGCATACCCCCGCAAATCAGGTCAATGTTTATATTTGCAGTGGTGTGTGTGCGTGTGCATGTTGTTGATAAGTTGTAAACAGCAGAAACTGACAACGATGTTACATTAACCGTGAGAAACCCATCATCTTTATCATCATCGTCATTTACACTACTGTTATTGCACATGTACTACTGCTATCTCTGGAACACATTTTTAACAAGTACAACGTTTAAATAATTGTAACTGCCTCGGAAAAAAGGGATGAGAGCAATTGCTGACGAAGAAACTAACTGTTGAATTACGCCAGGAAGTGAAAAACGTCACCAGCTTGTTTCTAGTTAACTTTCGTTAGAGAGGTGCCATTGGGAATATTGCCAATCTGCTGTAGGCATGTGCTATCACGTGGACTATTCCTGAGTGTTTCCTTCACTCGTGAAGAATGCGATACGGAGGAGGTTTTGACTTTTTCCGAGCATCTAATTTATAGTGGGAGCTAAGCGCCTGAAGTGTTCTCTACTTTGGTAAAATCTAAACACTTTTTAGCTTGGGTTTTAGCTTATAGGTAGGTACGTCCCTTGCGGATCCTTACCCTGCGCTGAATGGGCCGTTGTTCCTGATCCTGGTTACTACTCTCTTTCTTCCCCCACAGGGCCTTTGGTGCCTGTACTGCCTTTTATTTTACCAAACAGAAAAAAATGTCTAAAGAGGCACAGGCAGTTTTGGCTTGCACGGTTTTGTAGGCGAAGGAAAGTGAACTCCCTCTCTGGTCCAGATGTCCCGAGCTTTTTCTTAGTTTGAGTTCGCTTGTCTGCGGTCAACTGATAATATGCCGGTTGCTTAGGAGTCATTGAATCCAGACGGCGGTTAACAACTAGGTGAAGGAATGCTTGCACATATTGGCCAAATGCTTTTGTCCTTAAGGACCAGTAAACCGATAAGGCAAATGTTGCACCATACGCCCGCACGCAGAACTGCCTTTATGCCACAAATTAAGTTTTTCCACATATTACTAATGACAGCAGTGACAATGGTGATGATGATAATCGTAATGGCATTGGCCCTGGATGTTGATGACTTTGATGGTGACGTTGATGAGGACAGTGGCAATGATAATGGTGTCGGTGATAGTCCCTTGTTCCCCTCTCAATCCTATACCCTTTCTCCTCCTGCGTGTTATCGAAAAATGTAATTAATATTTGTTAACAAGAAGTGCACGTGAAAAAAGTAGATTTTCACCTAAAAGTACTAAATCTTCATTTATTTCTCATACTGTTCGCTGTAAAAGAATTTTTCGCTTGTTCGTATTCCATCTCGGCTGTCTTGTCGCTGGAAAAAAAACCTTCTTACCTGTTTCTGGGTAATGAATTGCCATTAGGAAAAAGGGCGAACAGTTACGTCAAACAATAAATGTAGCAGTAGTAGTGGTGTTGCTGATAATAATAATGAAAATGATAATGATAATAATAACAATAATAATAATAATAATAGCAATGATAATAATGATAATAATAATATAATAATATAATGTAACATAATAATATAATATAATAATAATAACAACAATAATAATGCTATAGCAGCAACATAATAACAACAATAATAATACTTAAGGATAAAAACAATTGACTGTGCGCATCAGGGAACCACTGCAGCTTATAGTAAACTGTTGCCGGCTCAACAGATATTATAACATAGTACGTTTAGTGTTTCCTTATATTGATTGTAGTGATCATTTAAGTGCATGGAAAGGAGTAAATATAGGATTCATGATTTACTTTGTCGTAGAGTTTTTTTTTACCAGTTCATATTTGAACGTACTGTCATGTTTCATGAAACAGTGATCTTTGAAAACTGATTTCAAAATACCTAGCTTGCATTATGCAGTCTACGAGAATCCCAGGACTTTTAGTCTGCTCGGTTTCGAAAATATAAAATTAGCCTACAAACTAAATTTGTCAGTGAGTTTCTTACAGGTGGACTTCTATTTAGAAGTCCAACTCAGTTCTCTCATCTAGCCTAAATTGGACAGTCAAGGAGGACATCATGTTAGTGATGTTTATTGGGGATGCTCCCCACTTGCTAAGCGCAGTTGTATCAGGCATTTTGTTCTTGATCTGCATATTCCTCTACCTAACCTTTTTGATGTATAAGTGCCGCATCATGTTTTCGGGAGTATCCCGGGTGACCGCTTACTTTTCCATAAGTACCGTTCACTAATGCGCAACGTCCACAATTGTCCGCAGTATGAGCAACATGCCCTGCACACTGGATTTTACTTTCTTGCATCGCTGCAGTGATATCTTGCACGTCGCTCATCCAACAGAGGTACTTATGAAAAAGTAAACAACCCCATTAAATTGTATACGTTTTAGCCTAGTATCACAACTGGACCTAATCAGCATAAAGTTTTTTAAGTGACTGACTGCTGCGTGCGTGTAGACACACTTGTCGCAAGAGTGCAGATTAAGTAATGCCGATGTTAATTATCCAAGACATCAGAAAAGTCTACTTTCAGGATCAGCGTCAAGGTGGCGTGTGTCTAAATCGGCGCGAAGCCCCGAGCTCCCTCCCGCGTTATCACCATCATCGAAAACAAATACCGGTACAGCAGCAGTTATTAACAGCTCATTCGGCGATCGCAGCAACAACAGTGAAAGCATCGAAAAATCTCGGGAAACCTCCTCATCCTAGGGTTACTATTGTCCGCCTTTTAAGAACGCAAATCATGGAAACCGAGAATCCTCCGGAACAAATTATGAGGGCATGCATAAAATTATGTGGCATCAGTGGGTAGCATTAAAAATTTGATTGTGTACCATTTTTGTACTGGAGTTTAAGCGGGAAGAAAAGGGGCTCTTTTGCAAAAAAAAACTACTACAGAGGAAAAAGCACCTGGATAAGATTTCTTTCTGTCACATAAAAAACACTATAGATTTCTTTTAAACTAAAGGGGCGATACTGCACAGAACTAAAAGAACGGGGGCTTTGGCACTCCTTTAGGGTTGGGCTTTAAAGTAGGGCGTTTTTATTTTGATACTACTAGCAATCTCCTAGGCTTTATTTCATTGTTTTCACTGATTCATAATCATCACCATAAATATCACCATTTTATTCAGCGGAATCATACGGTGCTTCACAAATTAACGTTTTTTGTTTTTGTAATTCTTGATTTGTGCAGGTTGTTTATTTATTGTAATTATTGAGTTCAGTAGATATTTCGATTATTAGTGTCATTTGTTATGTTTATTATGCGTTTTTGCTGTATTTTTTCTCCAGCTTGGTCGATTTGGTTTCTGTTGTGGTTTTCGCCGCTAAGATGTGGCACAGAGGTTTGGAGACCAAATTGCAGGACACCGATGGATGACCATATTTTTGCTGTAGTCTTGTTTTTTCAGGTCCACATTCCGGGCCGGAATATTTTTTGCATTGCACCGAAAATTTTGTCCTTTGAGCAGAATCGAGTAGTAATAATTGCAGAATAGAGCAAAAAATAGCCTCACCACTCCCTTCACTGCGACAAAAAAAGCTCTTTCCTTTCTCCCTCATCTAATTTTCGACATTTTTGGATTTTGAAGCAAAAATTAAAAAATGATGGTACTACATTTTCTTTTTAGAGCGGGTTCTGTTGATATTTTTGAGAGGATATGCTTACCTGAATAGCTGTGTAGGCGCTATTTTTCTGTTATTGTTATATTTCAAGATTCTCATGTATGAGTACAATGAGCCCCTGCGACTGTAATTTTTTTTTTCTGTGTAAATTATGTTGAAAATTAGAATCCATGTAAAGCAAATCAATTTAAGACACCACGAAATTTCATTCACTAAGCCTCATGTGATTGAAAATGGCTTGTTTTAGCTTATTCCACGAGAGAAAAAAAATGAGCTTTTTAGCCTAAGGTAGGTGAGAACCCGTTCTGACATACGAGGTGACCTGTAACAGTACGTATCGTAAATTCCGTAAAGCGGAAGTAAAGAAAACTAGAGAAATAAGATTTTTTATTGATTTATGCATGCACGGATTATTAAATGCTAAATGTCCAGGAAAGAAAGCAAAATGAGTTCCTGAGCTACAGGTTCCTAGCTTCGAAGCGCTACTTGGAATTTTATGAGTCGGGAGAGGGAGCTTTTGGGATCTCCGGGGTGGCATTTCGAAAAACTTTTTTTATGAAAAAACCAACATTGCTGCGGTAAAGAATAAGTGTGTCAAAAAATTGTAAATGAATTGTGCAGAAGGAACTGGTCATACGTTACCTATAAGGAGGTGTGCTTACTTCGTCCAGTCCTTTTGTTCCACTGCTAGTCACGTTGGTACCTGGCTCTTTGATGAAGGTGATGTTTTTTATAGGGATAAATTCCCCGAAAAGTCAAGCCGCAATTACTGCGTTTTAAATTTAAAACTGCTTAACTAACTGAGTCTGTACCAGGCGGCATCCCTAAGAAACTCTTAGTTGATTATTTGGAAATCCGTGAAGGAAGTAAACTAGGAAGTAAAACATAAACAATGAATATGCAATGCTTCTGTGTCTCATACATGTGCTGTTGGTGTGGATCAATTGTCCATGCAGATATTTGTCGGTTGAGAAAGACGCTTTGAAAAGCTTGTGAAAATTGATGTTCTCATGAAAATGGCTTAGAAAGGGAGTACGGTGGCCGGTGAGAAAGGAACTTCCATTTTCCGACTCGAAGACACGAAGCTAGCTTACTCCCCATTCTCCCTATCTTCCTCAATCCACAGCAGCAATAATGACAATGAAGTTTCTTCTCGCGGTGCTTAACCCAAGGGTAGCTTGCTTCGTTGCTTAAGCTTTAACTGAAGCTGGCTACTAGGATGGCTAGGATGGATGGAGGATGAGAGGGGCCTAAATCTGAGGAGAGAACAATTTTGCAAATCGTCTGAGGACATATGTAAACATACTCAGTATCGATATAGTGGGAAAACAGATGGAGCGCAGAGACAGCGATATTGCCAATTACAGCCGTTTAGTACTCATCGTTATCCTGGCTCAGTGGATAATAGATAGAATGCCTTAACAGTCCCAGCAAGACATTTTCGGAACGAAAGGCAAGCGGGTCCAATGAAGCGCACATGATTTGAGTCACCAAAAAGAAGCAACGAAAAAGTTTATCTGCAAGCACTGAACAGTTAACCGGCGTAGGGCGAATCTCATCAGAATTTCTTCTAACATCGAAAACAAAACGGCTCCGCACGCGAAATTCCCAGCTCAAGCAAGCACTTTTATTTGAATGATTCTGCATTCCGCTGCCTGTGCGTGAGGACCCGGAAACAGTGTAGACCATCGCCACCTCTAGAAATTACTGAATCGTTTTGTTGTCAGGCGAGGACAGTGTGTATAGCATACCAGCTAATTAAACAGTCAGTTGTTCTGCCTTCCAAACGGTCGGTCTCAGGAAGAGGCCACCTTCAGTAGCCTCTTTAACCATCCACTACAGTACCAAACAGTTGAAATTCAAGCAAGAACTCGCCACTGTCTACTTGTTAGGGCATTTAAAAAAATTAGTTTCGAGTGGGAAGGATGCGTACTAGCGATATAAAGATCGAGACAGGGATAAGCCGGTACAGCTGCGCAGAGTGCATGCGCAATTGAGCGATCTAGTGATCCTGCTAACAAATTTCAACTCCCTTCCATCGCTATATGCACCATAAGTTTGGGAAACATCAGAAATTTCAAGGACCAACTTCTACTCTTCCAGGTCTACGAAGACTGATGTGACCGTGGTCGGAAAGAGGCATTCATCCCAGAATTCTAAGGGTATGCTTTACTTAGACGTCGGCAAAAAGACATGGTCGATCGAAGTTATTGGCCTGCAAATGACACTAACGTGCAGTTTACGAAATAAACCAAATGTTGCAGGAGTTTGATGCAGTGAGCAAAGATGTGAGACTGAAAATTAACGCTCTGAGAACAGAAGCGATGCAAATTTAGTTTCCATACAGACGATGTTAACTTCGGAAACATGGGCAGTTATACTTGTCCAGTAAGTAAATATGAGTTATATCTCTACCTACAGACTGCTTGTCAGACGCTAAGATTAAAGTAAATTTCACAGCATCCTTAATGTCCTAAAAGAGTCAGAAAGGAATGACTGAGTCCCACCTTCCTTTCCATTCACTAACTTAACTACTATCTCATCCCAAAACTGGACCTCAGTAATACAGCGACTGTTGTGAGAACATGTTACAGGATATCATACTGTCCGTTAACACTATATGCACATGCTAAAAAAAAAGAAATAGGGGAGTAGACAAGGAGAAATAAGAATTATAGTTATTTTAAAGCGACAGAAAAGGTGAAGATGTGAAGATAAAGATAAAGAGGTGAAAGCAAACGACGGAAAATAAGGAAGGAAGTGACGTACCTCAAGAAATTTCGCCCTTTCAATCGTATGACTCCAGTCCTTTTCAGCACAATTCGATTTTTGCTATGTACGGGACTGGAAGAAAACGGGCGTAAAACGACAAAGATAAACTAGAAAAACCGTCGTAAAACAATGACCGCGCAAAAGCAAAGACGATGCTAATCCAAGACAGCATTCGTTTAACAATCGGGTGAAAACACAAACACCAAAAATCTCAATTATCACACGGACAATCGATGTAGAAATCCCATGTTAGTGATATTACTGGTATAAGCTTGTCGACATGCTCTGAGAAAAAAATTTTTAAACTGTTCTATGTAGTACCACTGCTAATAAAACACTGCCTTTTTTATCCCTTATCAAAGGTTTCTGCGTACTTGATTCAACGCAAAAATGCCTACCGACAAAAGGGTGCCGCTGTATGTCTGTGTGTGGGTTGTTTGGATCTGTCACCCATTATAATGGTTATAAAAGTTCTGTACGAACTAGTACGCGGCAAAATTAAGCGGTAAAACAGTGCGCAGCGACGGAAAGCGCAGAAATAGGTAGTAAAGTACCCCACATTTGCGAATCGGTTAGTTGTCTTGCTCGACGAATCCGAGCAATCGCCAAAAGTTTGTTAATCAAGCAAGTTACGATAACCAAAATAGTGTTTGCGATCAAGACAAGCTACACTTTCGCAAGGTATGCTATCTACTTCCGTCAATTACTGACCACATGCGAGAGAATATGCTTGCGCTGGACAATCGTGTAAGCACAAAACATAATAAGTGCACAAGCGGGAACAACATACCTACTTCCAATCCAGCAATCAGAAAAACTAGGAAGCTGAAATTTCAAGTTCAAGCGAAACCCGTCAACTTAAAAGCAACGTTTGCCTCTGGGTTCCACCTATGAAAGCTTTTGCGGGGAAACAATTTCGGTAATTAGACAAGATAGGAAACTAAATTACACATGCTGCCGTTGTTTGAGCTAAAGATTTCAAATTCAGCTATCACGCTCGCCTATGTCAAAAGTACGGACGAGTCAGAACTGAAATCGAGGCAATGCTTTCAGACTGTCAACATGGGAACTAAGCTGAGTAGAATGCTTTAATTTTACGAAAACACCTGTACGGGTTCATAAAGGTGAAATTAACATTCGCGCACTCTTGAAACACGTGCACCGCGCGTCAAATACACTTGCAGCGAAAAAACGATTTATGGTACCAGTTAACTATGAATTTGAAACCGAACGAGGACAATCGGTAACCATGCGTAACTTACACATTGTAAATTTGGCTTTGTGGGATGTCTATGTCTTGCGTTAGACGCAAATAAAATTTCAATTTACTACATATTTGGCACCCACTTAACTCTGTAACCAGACTTTTTTACTGCGCAGGTTCCTGGCCTTGAACGGCTAATCTTGAAATTTTTAATGAATATTTGCAAGAAAATTAATGGTTTCCTTAACGAGAATTCATTTAGTAAGTTTCGAAAGAAATCTAGTCATGCCATTCAGACATTTCATTTCGTGTTATCATTCTTTTTTTAAAACAAATCCGATTTTAAGAAGGCTTAGCGAACAGCGTTAAACACATCGATAACTGCACTGAACTGACCACTTTTTCCAGTGCGGCGCCTTTTTTTCACTGCGCCAACGATAAACAAAAGATTACAAATGTAACAGAATCTCGTGAGAATAAAAAAAAACAGTGAAAGCTGTGGATTTTGCAAGGTCAAGCGCGGCATGGCTTTTAAAGTGAATTACCGTGGAGTCTTGACTTCAAATCCCTTCGCTTTTGCTCCCTACCGCCCTCTCGCCTATGGCCTCCCTTACCTCCCCATTTGCATTTATAGAATAGAACCTCTTAAGAGGGAATAAGGGGATTATCATCTGATCAGAAGAGGCCAGCAAGCAACAGTGCAAGCATTAATCGGTCATCCACTCACACATGAATCTATGCCATTTGCTGATCACAGCTATCACAAGGTTAAATGTCTT